TGTCCTTTAAATCCTGTAACATACACGGTTTGTTTGCATACACCTGGCTTGGACGTTGTAATGATTTCTTAGGAGACTGCAGTAACCTGTCCCGCACAATTGCAATCGTTTCTTCTGGCATTTCTGGGCGGTTTTTACCACGTTCATTTAAAAGTGTCCCTGTCCTTTCCAATTTCTGAGCCAAGGACTGTATAGTCAATTTCGCTGGCGTCTTGCGAACTCCAAACTTCCTCCTGAATTCCAATTGTGTGTTTGCAATCGAGCCCGTCACCCAGTACGTGCGCACGAGAAACACTCGCTGTTCAACAGTAGTGTACTCCATGACTGTCACCTGCGCACTGCAGACACATTTCGAGATTGTCCTTGACCTTGCAGCATAAGGGCTGCTACTTGCTGGATCATGCGCACACCATTCGACTCAGCACGGCCCATGGATTATTATGTCATAATTGTGAGCGGTTATGTGCATCACCTGCGGAATTATTAGCAAATTCATCGGGCTGGTTCTATATGATTCACCCTGTATAACATAACTTTACAAAAACTAGTGGACTATTGAAGACCTCTTAGCGGATGCCGTTATACAATTCCAGGGGCGAGTGGTTCTCCTGAAACAGAAATTGAAAATCATTATAAATATTTTGTTATAAATTCTTGTTTAAGTATGCATGTCATCGTAAGAAATGTGACTAGTGAATAAACTGAGCATTTACCTTCTGAGAATGACGTTTCCTGAACACATTCCAGAAACGGAGTGTCTCATCTGCAAAACCAGTCACAACTGCTTGCCCATCTGGTGACTCTGCCATGTAGAGAACTCTGGCAAAGTTGGCAGTGAGGCTCGCAAGTTGTGTCAAGCCCGGATACTTCCACAAACGTATCTGGTCTTGGAAGTGGCCATGGGTGCTCACCTGCAACATATACAGTGGATCCATTTTTATTAAGAAGCTTTCCAAGGGACCAAGCAGGAAAACATTTTAAAGGGGTAGGCTTCAAAATGTTTACAGAATTAGTTACATCCTTTTGCAGAGAACTAACAGAATAGACATATTTTTAAACTGAATAAATACACAGACTTCCATATATACCCTACATGTTCCTGCTATATTGGTTATAAAGTCCAAGAGTCTCTTCCGAACTGTCATTCTTTCTTGAAGATCAAATCTAGTGTCATTTGTTTTATTTGTCTTTCAAACAAAGTTGAGGTAAACGTTTCCAGTTCCTTCAGGCTTCTAATGACTGAATCTGGCACATGAAACGGCAGCATTTTCCTTTTTTTGACTGCCATTCTCCTTCCCAAACATGTTAGGAACACCATGAACAGTGCATAAGCTATCCGTGCACTACTGCTATGTAGGGTGTATGTTTAATGCTGACAGAAACCATGTAGAAAGTAAATTAAACAAGTTTTTAATTAAAATCTATATAAGTATCTTCTGTTTTGTAATCATAGCTCATGCTCAGTGTACACAGAAAACAGATCTTAAAACTTGCTTTGGAACAAGACACTGAATTTCTAAACTAAAATTCATTATTTTTTGATCAAAATAAAGCACAAAGGAACCATACCACATCAAAGTTTACATTATCTGTAGTTTTATTTCATTAACTCTGGAATGTATTTTCAAATTTAAGCTCATAGGTTAAAAACAAATTTCATCACTTTCAAGTACTTCCCCACCTGTTCCGAATATAAAAGAGAATCCTCACTTTTGTCAAAAATACCATTTCCACTACGAAACTAAGGACTACTTTGATATGCAAGAAACTTACCAGTTCATGGGAATGTTTTGACCAGGCGACATTAGAAACCTGAGACCCAGTATCCACACGCTTCACTGCTTGTCCTGTGAGCGAGTCCCAGATATGGATGCACCGATCAGTTGCACCGCCACCAGTTGCCAGGAGCCCACGATGGTGTGGGGACCATGCAATAGCTGGAAAGTGGAAAGTAAAATGTATTAATGTATCAGACATATACCAAACTGCATCCAGTTACGGGCCAGAACTCTCAAATTTGGTTTTCCATAATTCAGAACCACCTCTGGCCTCAAACAAGCTTAGTTTGCCAGACAACCACTTCCTGCGAACAAACCAATGCTAGATCAATTCACAGCTGTTTATTTACATAATCAGTCAAGGAACAGTGCATACACTGTGGATGTCAGGGTTGGGCTGTGTATTTCTTTTGCTCCTTACCCCCAACGTGCCCTACGTCATCTCTCTATATTCCCTTTTACCAATATCTTAAAACTGTGTAACAACACTAACACATAATATTTTGACAACATTCAAAAAGTTCTGTTGTCAGGCTTTGGTCTGGTCCCAAGGGTGCCAGATAAGAGAGGTTCAACCTGTATTTGGGGGGCCTGCATAGAGAATGGCACACACACTTGAGAATATTACATGCCTGCAGTTACAACTGCGATATACACAGAGAAATTTGTTCCATGTTGGGAGAAACCATACAGGTCTATCAATGATACCATGTTCCCCCTGACTCCTCAGAACATTACAGTAACAGCAGGGAACAGTGTTTTTTTTTTCTAAAGTTCAAGGTCAAGTACCCCCAACCAAGCATGAACCAATGAAAAATGTCCACCATGTGATGTCATCTGAACTGCTTGTTAAATATGCACTGTGTCATGTCGCTAGTGGAGCTCAAAATATTCCTGTGATTGTGATGTATGCTGTTTACAGAGTGTTTAATCCTAATCATGGCAATAAAACAGAAATGCTTCAGCCTAAATACAAAGCTTGAAGTAATAAGTCTCTGTAAAACCAATGGCTCATCAAAGATTGGGCCAGGATGGACTTCATCACTGTTCACCAACCCAGAGATCAACAATGAAATATCATCAGTTGAGGAGTATGATGGAAGACTACTTACAGAAACAAATGAGCAGCAATGAGAATAGCGATTTGAATCTGTGCATTTTGAGTGGTTTCACAAACAAAGACCATATGTCACACTGAATGATGGACCATGATCAAGGCAGAAACCAACCATTTTTCAAAGTGTTTACAGATTGATTACTGTCAGTGTTGCAAATGACAGATTTACAGTTTCAAATAAAGAAAAAGTGCTTTGGTGTACACAAAGTTTAAGGGAACACTTGTTGCATTTAGAACCAGCTTATGATACAGTTCATATGAGTTAAAATAGTTGGGTTTGAGTACATTATACAGACTTAAGAGAATCTTACAATTTATTGGTTCAGATAATGTTAAAGATGTGGACAATGCTGAGCGATTCATCAACATTTTCATATTTTTAAAGGGAATTACTTCATGCAAGCTGGGAAATACGTGCACACCATAACATTTCTGGCACATTTTTTTCCCTTCTGTTGAACTGTCTCAAAACCTGTAACTTATGGAGAAAGAATACTGGTCATAAAAATATTGTTTCATTTCTCTCCCCCCCACCAATTTTTGTTTGAAGCATTTTTCACTGTGATAAATATTTAGCAAGTTGCATAATGCACGAGAAAAACATACTTTGAGCATCGCATAAATGTCCATTATTGTTGACAGATTTTTACCCAAACTAGAATGCATCAAAAAAGTTTAGTAAAAATGCATAATATGGAAATTAATGAACACCCATTTAACAGTTCTCAAGTTGCTGCATGCAGGCAGACAGACGCAGTGAAGCTGAAAATTGCGTTTTTGCAACTTCTCATTGTGAATGCACCAAAGAAAATAAATACATGATATTATCATAAGTCAGAAGACTGACATCAACATGTCGCATATCAAGCATTTTGGGACATTACAAGTACCCACTAAAAAAGAAAATTTATAAATCTTATGAATTCTTGTTACAATGGGCTCGAATTGTAATTCTTTTAAATTCAAATTCCAGTTCTACTGCACTCTCCATTTCAGACGAACTAGATTTTATTCAATATGTACTAATGCATGACTATACACAACACTTCATGGTTACTGATCAAAATTACATTTCAGTGAATTATAAATAGAGATACGACAGTGATGCACACATACCTCTCACTGCTGCTGAATGTTCAGTGTAGTCCTGGACAGGTGAAAGGGAACGCAAGTCCCAAACAAGCAAGCGATTGTCATCACCCCCAGAGGCCAGGTACTGCTTACATGGAGACCATTTCAAGCCGCAAACCTATACACAAGAGCAAATCATATGGTCATTCAAAGTCATTAGCAATCATGAAATCTGTGCACAGATTTTGCAATACATTTCTGAGATTTCACCGATAGCAGGCATTGCACAGTAATAGAAAATTAAATATAACCAGGGCTCCACATATATACATGGGATGGACAAAAATATGGAAACACCCAACAAAAAACACATTCTTGTGACTAATATGGTGTAGGACAACCTCAGGCTTGCAGAACTGCCTGCAGTCTCCTTGGAATGGATAAACAGAGGTCCTGTATGATTTGCAAGGGAATCTTGTACCATTCTTCCTGCAAAACATTGGCAAGTTCTGTTAACAATGAGGGATGTGGATAGCACGCACACAGATTGCTCTCCAAAACAGACCACAAAGGCTCAATAATATTGATATCTGGCGATTGTGGGGGCCATGGCAGATGTGACACTTCATCTTCATGCTCAGAAAACCAGTCCTGGACGATGTGAGCTGTGTGAACACGGGCACTGTCATCTTGGTAAATGGCATCACCATTGGGGAACAAAGTTTGCACCATGGGATGGACCTGGTCGCCCAAAATGGTCACATAGTTGTTGGCAGTGACGTGAGCTTGCAGGGTAATGATGGGTCTGACAGAATACCATGATATGTCTGCCCATACCATGATCAAACCCCAGCCATGTTTCACTCTTGGCAGCAAACAATCTGGACCATAAGCTTGGGATGGCGTTCTCCAGACGTAAACTCAGCCAGAAGTCAGAAATAGTGTGAAGGTGGACTCATCCAACCAAATGATCATCTTCCATTCCTCCATAGTCCAGATTTAATGACTTCGGCACCACACTGTCCTCTTAGTGGCATTTTGATCACTGATGAGTGACTTTGGAATTACAGCTCGCCCAGAAATACCTTGCTTGTGGAGTTCCCTTCATACTGTTTTGGTGCGGACAGGGTTTGTGAGTGTGACATTCAGTTCAGCAGCCACTTTTGCAGCTGTAGTCTTCTTATTTTTCGTCACAATCCTACGCAATGTTCATCTGTCTTGATCACTCAAGACACATTTTCGTCCACGCTGGCGTTTATCGGATGTAGTTTTTCCAGTCCTCCTGTATGAGGTCATAATCTTGGATAATGTGCCTCGCGAAACACCAAAAACTCCGGTTACCTTGGTTACGGAAGCAGCCACCATACCGGCCCCAACAATTTGCCCGCGTTTGAATTCTGTTAGCTCTGACATGATGCACTAAAAACTGCACAGAAAACTGTCTCGACAACAAATGAAGCTTCCAACATATTGCGGAGGTTGTACAGGTAGTGGTATTGGGCAGATAAAAAAGCATCACCTACAAATGTCGCTAAAATATAACACTTCAATTCAGGCATGCATTTCTTATGGTGTTTCCATATTTTTGTCCATCCCCTGTATATATATCTGTCTGCTCAGCCATAAGTAATAGAGGCTGAGGAGAGGAAAAATCTTTGAATTTATTGATTTCTCATCTCTCCATAGATGGTGTTATATTACACAAGGGACAGTATTCTATACGTCATGTACTCTCTGTAATGAGAGGCAGGAGAGGTAGGAGCAATTAAAACACCATGGGTAGGCACAGGCTCTTGTGGAGACATATCTGGGGGACAGACTCTCTCTCAGACTGGTGCAGTGTAAACCACC